AAATGAATAAATAAATTAAAGATATTGTGTCCATCTACAACTAAAAAAGATTCTTTTAAAAAACATATTCCTATTTTATAGATAAAGAAATTAAGCTGGGTGCGGTGGCACACACCTGGAATTCCAGCCGCTTGGGAGGCTGAGACAGGAGGATCGCGAGTTCAAATCCAGCCTCAGCAATGGCAAGGCGCTAAGCAACTCAGTGAGACCCTATCTCTAAATAAAATACAAAATAGGGCTGGGGATGTGGCTCAGTGGTCAAGTTCAATCCTTGATACCTTCCCCCCACAAAAAAAAAGAAATGAAGCACAAAGAGGCTACATACCTTGTTCATGGTCACCCAGACAGAGTGGTGAAGATAGGGTTTGAACCCAGGCTGTCTGACCCCAGAGGCCATGCCCCTCCCTAATCATGAGGTGTAGTCTGTCTCTGCTGTGGCTATATAATCCAGCAAGGGAGCTGGTATGAGATACACATTAGGTTTACTATATTTGCCTGACTCAGAATAAGTAGATGATTTCCTTGCTTTTCCTCTGTAATCCAAAAAATAATAATAATAATAATAATAAGTTCTTCTACTCTGAAAAGATGCTCTCAGCAGAAAAGTCAGGAAACTGTCCTTGATTCTTGTTCTCACCCATGAAAAGTCACAACGTGATCTTTTAAAACAGATTCACCAAAGCGCATCCCATCAGTGGCTAGTTGGACCACTTATTAACAGATATCGCAGGAGAGAAAAAGACAGGATTCCAAAGTAAGTCAGAATGCAGGCTGCACTGTGTGAAAAGGTCTCTTTAATGCAGTACTTCTCAAAGTCTTCAGTATGCACTGTGGCTTCCAAGGAAAGGATCTAGAAAATTGTTTCCTAAAGTGACCGTGGCATCCACCTCCCCTCTCTTTTCCCCAGAATATCCTTACAGAATTGCTATTTTTAACTTTATAGTAAGTACTGTGAGTTCCTATGTTCTCATTAACCAGCTTCGATAATTATCACCCAGGGCCAATCTTGTTTCATCTATATGCCCACTCATTTCCCACACACACCTGTTGCCTTTTTTTAAAGTAATCTTGCACGTCATATCATTCCACCACAAATGGGAAAATGCCATTTAAAAGCGTAATCTCTCCTTGAAACAGGAAAAACCACAAGTTTGGTTATTTCAGACAGAGAGAAAAATTCCATCATCCCCATTCCACTGGGGTTTTCCAAAGAAAGGGATGATGAGTCACAAGGTATAAGCTCTTTTCATTCTCCATGGTTGACATTCATGCAGAATTGTTATATGATTTCATAGGACATCTTTGAAAGAAACAGCCTTCAGATCCTAAGCACGTTGTCCCTTTACCAGGATGAGTAACTTCCAAGTCATGGTTGGACAAATTCAAACCATGCCACACACTACACATTTCAAGGTTCTTCCTCACTCCTCCTCCCCAGGCGGGCAGCCCAATCCTGCTATTAATTTTCTGACGCTATTTGCCAGAAGTTAAAAGCCACACTGATGAAAATATTCAACTTCCACTAACTCACGTTCCACCGTCATTTATCAGATTTAGAACCTCAGACGGGTCACTGAATGAAGCAACTGAGCTTCAATGTTCCCAAACTTAATTTCCCCAACTTAAAGTTAGAAATAACAATCATCACTATGCTTCCTATGTGAAAGAGGATCAAGTGACCTGATAGACATGTGACTATGTAAGGTTAACTGGATGTCCTCAGTCCAAAATGGAACCTTTCCAACTTTTGGATCCTTAATTATTTTTTTTATTAAAATGGTGTTAGAAAACATAAGATTTACTATCGTAACCATTTTTAAGTGAACAGTTCAATGGCATTAAGTACATTTGTCAGTTGTACTGCCATCACCTGCATCTCCAGAACTCCTTCCATCTTATAAAATTGAAACTCCATATCCATTGAAAAATAGATCCCCTTTCTTCCTCCTTCTAGCCCCTGGCAAATGCCATTCCATGTTCTGTCTCTGGGAGTTGGGTTAGTCTCAGTGGTTGTCTTTTTTTTTTTTTTGACCTGCTTATTTACTTAGCATAGTATGTTAAGGTTCTAGATGATCCTTCATTATTACAGAACTTGCAACTTGAATAAGAACACATGTGACTTAAAGGAAGCAATGAACAGAGAGGGGCTCTGACCATAGTTCAGACAAAGCTTGGGGAAGACCTAAGTTAGATCAGGAAAAAGGAGAATTGGGAAAGAATGGATAATTGTTTTGAATTGTGAAAGCAGAATCCCTGTGGGTTGAATGTGAGTAGTAAGGAAAAGGGAGAAACCAAAAGGATTCTGTGTTTTCTAACTCGGGTTACTGGAAAGATAGTGATGCCCAGGAGATAGAAAGCATAAAAGATACTAAACAACGGGAAAACCTAAGAAATATGAGGTATAAATACCTAAGAAATTTATGGTACTCCTGACTATACAACACAATACAGCAGGCCTAAGAATCAGACTACCTGGGTCTCAATGTCTGCACAACCCCTTACAAGCTATGTGATTTTAGATGAGTAACTTGAACTATATGTGCTTCAGTTTCATCATCGATCGAATAGAGATAAAAGCACCTGGAGGAGTTGTTGTGGAGCTGTGATAAGTACAAAATGTACATATCAGCCCCTCTAGTA